GCTCGGAAAGTAGGTCAAGTTTTGGAATTTCGGCGTCAAACTTACAAATTTGAGATTTTCATGGAAATAGACATAACAAAATTAAAAAGATTTTTCAGGTGGATAGGAAATTCCAATAAAGGGTTTTTTTTGGAAAATTTTTGAAAATTCTGAAAAACATGGACCAGATTTTTTTTTGGATTTTTCTGAAAATCTCAGAGTACTTAACAAAAATAGAGCTTTACTTTTGTAGTTGACAACTTTTTCGTGAAAATTCATCAAAATGAGATAAGTCGTCATTTCTTTACTTCTGGAATTTGCAGCACTTGATTGGTTTTAAACGGTCTATCTCATTAGGATGGATTTGTACAAGAATATTGTCAACTACAAAATTATAGCTCTATTTTTGTTTAGTGTACGCTGAAATTTTCAGACAAATTGAATAATTACTAAGCGCTTTTCAGACTATATAAAATTAACTATGTTTTAGGGATGTTAAAGGCTTCAATACAATGCAACCCTTCCCACGTGGCATATCTCTTTGGAACCTTTTTCTACAAAAACATTGTCAACTACAAAAGCGAATCTCTTTTTTTGTTTAGAATACTATAAAGTTTTCAGACAAATTGAGAAACTCCGGACCCCTTTTTAGGGCTTCAAAGTTGACTATTTTCCATTTGTTGCGTACTGTAATAAGGGATATTTCGGGGGACGAAACAATTATCTAGGATTTTAGAATGTTCTGACATTTTCAAGGTTGTCTCCGTTTCTTCCTCCTACTAAATTCTGATTTTTCTAGAATTTTCTATACAGATATCTAAAAAAGGTTTGTTCCTTACAATTTCAACTCCTCCAGAGAATATTTGGAACACCATGACATGTCGATTTTCATCTGATTCCAATTACATAATAAAGTTCCATTCTTCATTTTTCGAATTGTCTCTTCGCTGAGCTTTCGGCGAATACACATTGCGATCGCAGCGAGTCGCTCAAGTTTCTTCCAAATACTCCAGATTCCTTGGATCATTTTTATCTGGAAATTTTAAGATGTGAAGAATTTCAGAAAACAAAGTTTTTCAGACTAACCTGTAAACTTTGCTCTAATTTCTGAAAATCATCAAAATATGTCAACCATTTTGTCATTTTCAGAATGTAATATTCCCACTGTGCCAGAGTTTGCGTTTTTCCAAATTCTGGGATTTTGTGTAGATTTTCAAAAATTTGATCTTCATTTTGAATTTTTCGAAATCCAAATGCCATTTTTCCCAGAGAATTTCTAGCGATTAGAGGGGTCTCGGAGCCCTGAAATGTTTTTTGAAGTTTCAAAAATTTGCAGTTTCAGGATTACTGTACCTGGTGTAAAACAGTGAGAGCCTCATCCAGAAGAA